AAATAAAAAATTAATATAAATTAAAATAAAAACATTCAACAATAAAAGAAAATTCAAATAAATAAAAAAAAAACGAAATAAATTTAACTAGAAACTCACAACAAAAATCAAATGCAAATCATATCATATAGTACAATGAGAATGCAATTCATTAGCATATTTATTATTCACAATAACCAATATTTATTAACATTAATTGTAGTACACATGGGTCGTAATATTATAGACTGAAATGCTCATAGAGTTTTATGCATTGCCATATACATTGTTGATTGCCATGCTTTCACATTAAAATATAAATAATGTGCATAAAGGCGAAATATAAATAAATTACAGTCGTTGCTCGTTTGGCGTTTGTTTGTTGGTTTTGTGCCATTTGAGTGCAACATAGAAAATAACGTTATTTGATGTTGATTTCTGACAAGGCAAACAAACAAACAACGTCCGCTGGCAATTACTTAAATTCATGGCGTTTGTCTTTTATGAAGATGATGAGGCACTCACTCGCTGCAGTTTTATTAGCCAGCATTCAGGCAGGTAGAGCAGGTGTGTGCAGGTGTGTGCGCGTCGCAGATGAACTCAGACAAATGGCAGCTGTAAAAGTGCGAGTGGTGCAAAAAACTACATAAAAAAGGTTATGTGGCTCTCTCACCGGAGACACGCAGAGAAACTGAAATCCAAGCCCGGAGCCGAGCCCGAGCCCGAAACCCGAGCCTGCACACTAAACCAAAGCTAAGCCAAAGCCCCAAGCGTTGCCAGTTTTTATGTGGCGCTATAAATAAAGCAATAACATCATTTTGAAGTATCTCATTACGTGTTACGGCGGCTATGAGTATGTCAATTTTTTACGACACTCAACCGAACACCAGCCAAAAAACTGAGCTGGCCCTGCAGAAGACATTCGCAGCCAAAAAGGAAACTTGCGAGTAGTTTCGGCCTTAAAGTATGCCACACAATTGTTATGTGTGTGGGTGTAGGTGTGTGTGTGTGTGTGAGTGTGTGTGAGTGTGTCTGGGCATTTATGCAAAAGTTTGCTGCCTGACCTCAAAGCCTGACGCTTGGGCAATTAGTTTTTTCTCTCTGGCCAGCAGTTCAATGCCAGCTGCKTGTGTGCGTGTGTGTGTGGGCGTGGCATGTGTCAGCCTGAAAGCCATCAAAATGATGGCAAACTATCAAATGGCCAAGGCACACATTTGCACAGCTGCCGCAATTAGCACGTTTCGCACATTGATTTGACCCAAAGCACACACACACACACACACACACACACACACAAAATCACTCACACACACACACACCCACACACACACTGACAATTCAAGAACTTGAGTAGATAGTGCTTGGGCATGAGTTATTAAAATACTTTTTCCACCATAATTATTAATTATGTAATATGCCGAAATGTGCGAACATTTGCCAAACTGCAGCCTTCCCTCTTGGCCTCAAGCACTTGGCCAAGTCAAGAGCCATTTGCACTTTTGTGGTTGTGCTTTTGCCTCTGCTAAGTGTCTCGAGTGCAAAGCAAGCCAAAACTTTTATTTCTTTATAAATTCCATTGTTCATGTCTTGTTTGGCCGAGTGAGCTTTGAGGATGCGAACTTCAAAGTTGCAATCGGATTATTTTTGGCAGCTTTTGTGGAGGATATATATAATRTATATAAAGATATATACAAAGTTTGCTATGTATATATATTCTTCTTCTTTTTCAGTTGTTCCGACAGCCTCATTTGCCTTTCTATCTATTGCCTTGCCAACTCTAAGCTCAGCTCAGACTCTTAGACTCTCTTCTTGCAAACTTTATCTAGATTGTAGTACACAAATTGTCTCTATATAGCATCTAGGCATAGTCAGCATCATTCAAGTTAAAAATTCTCTTTTTGAAAACTTTCTCTCTCTCTCTCTCTCTCTCTCTCATTCATTTCCTTCATTGATTTAGTTGAGCCTCGTGCATTTTTTCATTCTCCAGCATAAATGTATATTCTCTTTGCCTTTTAAATTAACTGTCTGTTCATTTCGAGCATATTTATTTGGCTCGCGCCTAGCATTTGTGTGGCGCTCGACTCTCGCATTAGCATAAAATGTCAATTTAATTTTTTTTTTATCGCATAGCACGCGCAGCCGGAAGAACAAGCGAACGGCGACTCATTTAGTTTCGTTTGCTTTGCTGGCAACGCATTTTTCACTTGCAATTTACATTTCTATTTCTCTTATCGTGACAAGAAATGGCTGTTTGTTCGCTGTATCACTCCTAAGCGGCTATCGAAGCTGGCCAAATCAGAGAGACAGAGAGAGAGAGAGACCCTAGACTCCTCTTTTGGCAACTTCTTGGTGTGCATTATGGCCATGCATAAGTGTTATTCGCCTGCAAATTTCAATTACAATCTTTTGCCATTTCGCAATTACCGCGAGCTCTTCGACATAGTGAAGCCATGCAGCGACAATGTCTAGACTAAATAGGGGCAGCCAGCACGTGTCTGACAGCGCCAGACACGGCCAAGATTGGCCTCGCTTGGCCCCCGCTCGAGCCAACTGACTTACTGACTGAATGACTGACTGGCTGTCAGCAAGCGTCAGCGGCAGTTGCGAGCTGCTTTCCTTAAAACTGTCGCTTGAAGAAACTCTGAAGTGAGAAGAAAAAAAATTACAAATTGAAAACAGGCTGTCAGAGCAGAAAGAGTAAGAAAAACACAGCGGGGACTGCACCCACACACACACACACACACATACATGAATGCCTTGCTAACTGACAGGACGCTGCTGCTGAAGGCTGGTAATGTCCTGGCATGCGTGCAAATGCTTCGCCACTTAGTTTTGATCAAGTTGAGAACTTTATATTTTGCACTCAAATGTTCCGACAATCAAAAGTGAAACAACTTTTTGCCTCAAGAATCTTGGCCCACTGCATTTAGTCCTACTTGCAAATATGTGGAAGACAAGGCAGGACTATGGGTGTACCCTGTAAAGAGGGGGTGTTCCACTCTGATATACAGAATAATCCAATGGGTAAAGAAATAAAGATATTACAGGGTATATATACGTTGATGATTGTCTACTTCCTTAATCTANTATATATATATATATATTTGCATGGCATTCTAATTTAAATAATATTTTCTATGCTTGGCTAAGCTGCTTAGCTAATCTGCATTGCAAGTTCATGGCAAGCTCACTGCAAATAGAGTGCAAATGCCGAATCGCATTTGTTTGCACATTTAAATATATGTAGTATGTATGGTATGTATGCTTATAGYTAAATGGCTTGCTGGTTGGGTTATTTGTATTTGAATTTGTTTACGGGACTCGTTCATTTTGGCTGTGGCAATTTCACGGCTCAATTCGTGGCACAGAATGTTGCCAGAAATATATTTGCCAAACAAATTAAAATTTACATTGATATCGGAAAGTTGTTGCAACAAATTACACGGCATTCGCCATTGGCAAACAGCAGAGGAAGAGCCACACTGACAGCGAGAGTGAGGGAGACAGTGAGAAAGAGATAGCAGCCAAAAACTGAATAAATACCAAAATGCAAGTGCAAATAAACAGAGCGAAGGATGCGAATGCAAATGACGGCCACAACAACAGCGGAGAACAAAGAGCAGAGTCGACAGGCGGTTAGCAAACGGAGCTGCGTGTGGTGTGGCACAATTTTTAGGCACTGTACGTGCCGCGTTGCCAACTCCCGGCTTTGCTTTATTCTTACTTTATTTGATGAATTTCTTTGGCTTTCGCTGGCAGGCTGGCAGGCTGGCACTGTGGCACGTCGCCCGCCTGGYAAACTCCAGCAAATGGCAATCAAATTTCGCTTGGCTGCCGTTGCCATTGCCATTGCCATTGCCGTTGCTGTTGCTGTTGCTGCTGTTTAAATAAACCCAAAGCCAACTACAAAGCTTATCTGGATGAGAAACTAATGTGCACATGTCAAGCTGTCTGGCAGCTTGGATATTTATCTTGATTGCCCTTTTTCAGCTGTTGTGGCAAGTTGGGGACAACAGTGCGTATGATTTATTTGAATTGGTTAGATAAAAAGTTTAATTGGATTTCATGCAAATTGCAGCTTCGCATTGCATTTATGCACTCTGGTTTAATTAAAAGCTGCTGCATTATTTGACTTTCGAGTGCTTGCAAAAATTATGGTTAATTGTGTTTAGTCAG